TGAAAAATATATCAAAAATGCATGTGGGCACTCAACTGAAAGCTCTTGATGAGTGTAACATCGGGATGAGCTTATATCTTCAAAAACATCAATAGTTAAGAAAATATAATGCAATTTAATAAAAGTCATTATTTAATGAAACAAAATTTTATTTATAGTTCACAATGTACTGCAGTTACGTAGTGACTGCAAGGTTGCTAGTACTTATTAAATCCTATGTTAAAAAATAATTTATTAACAATTAATAAACCTTATTGAATACAAAAATATTCTTCTATTAATGTGAAGAAAGTAATAATTTTTGAATGTATTTTTGAATATATTAAAAAGTATCAAAAGATTTATTACCGACAAAGTCTCGCGCGTCTTTCTCAAATGACCTTGATAAATTCCCGATAAACGCACATGATATAAATAAATCATCTAAATACGTGATACTGATATTTATTATATAAAATATTAATTATCCAACAAAAGTTGAGTGTACACTCAAATCAAAAGTACAAATAATAAAAAATAAAAATAACTAAAATAATAAATGAAGATGATTAAAAAAAATTAAAAAATAATAATCTTTAATAAAAAAAAAATGAAAATAACACCAAAAGATATTTATAAAAATAATTAAAAAAAGGAATTGATATAAACTAGAATAATAATGCTCGTGTGAATAAATAAAATAATTGTCAGACGCATAATGAAACTATTTATACAGAGTTTCACTTGAAGATATTCACACGTTGTTTGGCGACGATACGCGACACACGACAGATTGTAAGGCATTAAGTGCATACGCAAGTGTACCAGTACTTAGACTTTTTAATTTTATTCATCTTATATAACAGATTTTAATTTTTATTTATTCATACATGGAGATTTAATTATCACTCAGTTTCTTCAGTGTTTAATTATTGAATTACTCAGTTAAGTGCTCGTATAGTCTTCTTTAAAGTGTTAACTAATTGTAATTAAATGTACAATTGTTTGAGTAATTTTTAACTTTTTGTTTATATTTATTCAGTCATAATGAATGAAAGTTATCAAGGTAATTGTTTTAATTACTTTAAAAATGTTGGGATACTTTGGTACATTGTTAATCCCTATGAATCTGCATTTGAATCGGTTAAGGAAGTACCCGATTATCAATATCAGGTAAATTTTATTTATTTATTTATTTACTTCTTTTAAATAAAAGAAATAAAATACAAAAATTAATCTAATAAAGAATAATTAGTACACAGAAAAAAAGGTTCACTTGAGCCGAGAAAAATATTTTTCTTCCTAATTATTTTCTTGAGCGAAAAAAAAAATTTTTTTGACAAGAAATTTTACTTATTCCAACAAAATTAATTCTCTTGCTTTAAGGGGCCATGAAAGAAGATTTGATAACATTTTTAAGAGATAATTTTTGGTGCATTGTTTTGAGCTAAATTTTGGACAGATTTTAATAAAATTTAAACCACATATAAAAAATAGAATAATAAAAGCAGGAAACTAATTTATTTATGAAATTTTTACAAAAAAAAAATTAATTCAAAAGAAACATCGCAACTTTATACAGCCTACAGAAATCTACGTCGAAATAATGAATTTTTGTTTATTTTATGGAAACAATGATTATAAAAAAGAGTTACCTGCATTCTTTCTCACTACTTAGTTATAAAAAATTTATAAAACCGATTATTTATAATCACAATTATTAATAATACATGTAATTATCGTACATTCGGTGCATTATTATTAATAATTATGCCTAATTATTTTCTTGAGAAAAAACAATTTTTTTTTTTGACAAGAAATTTCACTTATTCCAACAAAATTAATTCTCTTGTTTTAATAAATACGTATCTTGATCCAAGAAAATTTATTTAAGTCAAGAAAATCTTGTTGTTTTGAGAAAATTCAGCCTCGAGCTCCAAAAAATTTAGTTTTTGATAGAAGTTAATTTTTTTGTCTTGAGAAAACTTCTCTTTTGCTCCAAAAAATTAAATATAAAGATAGAAGTAAATTTTCATTAATATTTTTATTGATTAACATGTCAATTGGGAAGATCAAATAATATTTCATCATTTTTTTCCATTCGATATGTATAATTGCACGCTAAAATAATATAAAACGGGTATCAAATATTTAAGAGAAAAATTTTCTTAAGGAGAAAATTTTTTTCTCAGCTCTAGGTGGTGCTGCTTCTCTAAACTATCTAAAAATTTTGATCAAATATAAAAATTTATTGTACCTATCAAGTATTTATGATTATTTGAATTAAGAAAAAATGACTTCTACCAAGAATAGAGTTTAAAGAGAAATTTTTACTTCGGCCAACACAACTTTGGTCTTCATTCAAGCACTCGAAAATTTTCTTGAGTCAAGAAGTTTTTTCTCCAGTCAAGAAATTTTTCTTTCTGTGTACTGCCGCAAATTTAACAATTCATAATCATTGGCTCTAATTTTTGATATTACAGCGAAAATATTGGTCCTATAAAAAATTTTTTGAACAAAAGTTGTTCATAATTTAATTTTGTAAAAAAAGTGTCTCATAATTAAAAAAAAAAATCAATATTTTTGCTGTAATTTCAAAAATAAGAGTCATCATCATAATTATCAAAAAATTTGAACCTTTTAAACTAATCTTAATTTTGAAATTACGGAAAAAATATTGGTTTTTTTTTAAATCTTAAGAAACATTTTTTTTATAAATTAAATTTTGAACTTTTGTTCAAAAATTTTTCTATAGGACCAATAATTTCGCCATAATATCAAAAATTTCAATGATTATTTATCATTATTTTGAAATTAGGGCAAAAATTCTGAGTAATAAAATAAAATATATCTTTTATTCATTTAAAGGTATACTATTGTAATTGTTAATTTTTTAAACTAAATTCTATCTGAAATAAGTAAAGTATATTATCTTATCTTCTTTTATACGATTATCATATTTGATATTTATGATAACTCTTTGTGTCAAATAAATTTACTTCATAAGATTGAATTAAAAAAGTGCAGTTTAATTTTACCAAAACTGTTAAAAACATTAAAAAATTTTTTTTTTAATTTTATTTGCAGTCATGGTTTCCATTTTTTCTTCTCATAATTTTAGAGCAATTGATATTGCTCTGGAAGAAAAAAAGTAGCTTCCGTTTAAACGATCATATTACTTCTCTTTCTCACTGGATGCTCCAAGAGTCTGGACGGTAAGCTTAGGTAACATTTTATTATATGTATTTATAATATAATAATAATGATAATATTATTATTATTATTATTATTACCTTGAATTTATTGCAATTTCTATTTTAAAATAGATTAAGAAAAAAAATTTTTTTTTTAATAATTATCAATAACTAATTCAAAACTAGAATATTCTTTCGAGGTGCCGAATATTATCTTTACATTTACATAAACAACAACTACCGGTTGATAAATCTACCTTGGAATTCATTATGGTCATGGTACATCACTCTTATAGGCGTCGATTTTTGTTACTATTGGGTCCATCGTGCTAACCATGGTAAGATTTTATTTGGAAAGTTTAATTTAAGGGGATATTCTGGTCGAGAAGCTTGAATTTAAAGTGATTTTTAAAGTGCTGTAAAAAATAGGCAATCAATATTTTAACTATTCATTCAGTTTTGTAGCTTTTTAGACTAATTAAATAGTAGCAAAAAAACCCTACGTATAGAAATTTAAAAAAAATTGCAAGTAAGAATTTTTTAAAATATCATTATAATATTTTATTTTTTATCATTAAAATAATATATTACCTACAACCTTGCAGTCACTATGTGACTGCAGTGAATTGTGAACTATAAATAAAAAAAAATTTTGCTTTAATAAATAATGAATTTTGTTAAATTGCACTATACTTTCTTAACTATTGACGTTTTTAAAGATATAAGCTCATCCCGATGTTACACTCATCAAGAGCTTTAATTTGAGTACCCACATGCATTTTGATATATTTTTCATATTTACATATATCTAATATATATATAAATATATGAAAAATTGATGTGGGTACTCAAATGAAAGGTCTTGATGAGTTTAATGTCAGACTGAGTTTATATCTTTAACAATGTCAGTAGTTGACAAGATACAAAGTCATTTTTTAATTATTGATATTTTTAAAGATATAAGCTCATCCTGATATTATACTCATCAAGAGCTTTCATTTGAGTACCCACATGCATTTTTGAATATATATTTGCATATATATGAAAAATTGATGTGGGTACTCAAATGAAAGGTCTTCATGAGTGTAACATCGGGATGAGCTTATATCTATAAAAATGTCAGTAGTTAACAAGATACAAGGTCATTTCTTAATTGATATTTTTAAAAATATAAGCTCATTTTGATGTTACGCTCATCAAGAGCTTTCATTTGAGTACCCACATGCATTTTTGATAAATTGTTCATATATACAAATATACATATATATATAATATATATAAATCTGTGAAAAATTGATGTGGGTACTCAAATGAAAGGTCTCAATGAGTGTAATATCGGGTTGAACTTATATCTTTAAAAATGTCAATAATTCACAAGATACAAGGTCATTTCTTAATTATGTATCTAGAGATAGAGTATTTTCGAATGCAGCCTAAGTACTTATCATAATAAATTGACTATCCTAGAGACAAAATTTTTCTTATTATCTTAATAATATAGATTTTTTCAAATAAAAAAAATTGATAATTATTATTAACTTTGTTTAATAAACAGAGGTGCATTTTCTGTGGTCGCAACACCAAGTCCACCATAGCAGTGAGGAATTTAATCTTGTGGTTGGCCTCCGGCAGTCAATACTGCAGCAGTGGTGTAGTTTCGTACGTAAATATTGAGTTACACTTACTTATTAAGCCAAAAAAAAAATGAACCATAGATTTTATTCAACAGATATTTTATTTGCCGCTGGCATTATTTATCCCCCCAGCGAATTTCATAGCTCACCATCAGTTCAACTTGATTTACCAACTATGGATTCACACGACAGTAATCGAGGACTTAGGAGTACTCGAGTTTATCTTCAACACCCCAAAGCACCACCGAGTACACCACGGCTGCAATTTATACTGCTTAGACAAAAACTACGGAGGAGTTTTGATTATCTGGGACAGATTATTTGGAACTTTTATAAGTGAATTGAAGGATACCGAAATTATTTATGGCCTTGTTGTTAGTCCAAGAACTTTTAATCCTTTGTACTTGCAGGTAAATATTATTATTATGATTGTAACAAAAAAAAATTATAAAAAAAAATTGCACATATAGAAATTTTAAAAAACAATAAGTGCAATTTTTTTAAAATAATTTATTTAACAACTAAAATCTAAATATGTTAAAACTTTTGTTAATTCAAATGATACAAAAATTAGCAGAAAGTGAAAATTTTTTTTATTTTTTTCATTAATTAAATTAGAACTAAAAAAAATTTTTTTTAGAAAAAGCTTTTATAATTTTTTGAAGCTTCTAAAGAAGAAATTTTAAAAATAATTTTTTTTCCACAATTTATATCTTAAAAAAATTTTTAAAATAATCAAACATATCTGCTAAATTAATTTCTATCATTTATTGCTGTAATTAAGCACTAATTAACATTACTTACCCTCAGACTTTTTATACCAAAGCGATGATTGACAAAAGTTTGAAGATGGAGACATTTAGTGATAAATTGTCAGTGTATTGGAAAGGACCCAGTTGGTTCCCAGGATCTCCAAGGCTTGGACTGGATGAGTACAAAATAAATGTAAGTAATATTACTTTAATAATTTTTTAAAATATAAATTAATTTTTTAATAAATATTTTTTAAATAAATTTTTTCTTAAGACAACTTTTTTACTTTAAATACTTACAATTTTGACAGGTAACTTCCAGGAAGAAATACAATCCATCATTAACAACCTGGATGAAGTTTTATATAACACTTCATTTTTCAATAGCATTTTCCATGCACTTTTATCTTTATAGTCAAGAACAAGTAAGTAAATAAAAATAAAACTATTTCTTCTTTGAAATTTTTTAAATTAATTAATTTTTTATTTCAGGACTGGCAATTAGTTATGATAAATAATGCATTTGCAATAACATCTATTGGTTTATTGTTTGACCGACATAAGTACGCAATAGTTATTGAATTAATGCGATGCATTTCAAACCTAGTCTTCTTTAATCACATTTATTACTTTTATTGTATTTATGCTTTATCTTCTTGCTTTTGGATTATTTATTTAATCAATTGTAAAATACATTTATTGTAAATTATGATTCTGAAATATTAACTTACATCTGATTACTTTTTTTTAAATTTCTTTTAAGAATTGTTTTTAAAATTAAAAAAAAATTTTTTTTGTTACAAATTTTTCAACAAGAAAAACTAAAAATTGTTAACTATTTTTATAATTAATTTTCATAGAATTTTTTGATTTTTTTCAATAATTAAATTAGAACAAAAATATTTCTTTAATTGCACATATATTTCTTCAAATTTTTTACAAGTGAAATTTTATTTTTAATTTTTTTTTTTTTTAATAAGAAAAATTTTTTTAATTTCTAAATTTCAAATTTTACATTTTTCTTCTTTATATTTATTAATTAAAAAAATTCATAAAATTAATCAGATGTGAGTTTCAGTATTTAAAAAAAAATTGACTGAAAAAAAAATGCATTTTAATAAATTAATAAAAAAAATAAATTCTTTTTTATCTTTTAAGTCCTTTACGATGAAAATAAAGTTTGCCGACGTTTAAAAATTTTTTGTTGAAAAAATTCCAATTAAACAATTAAAAAAAAATTGTCACATGTAAAAAACTTGAAAAACTATAAGTGCAATTTTTTATAAATATTTTTTTAGCTGTAATTTAATTAATAAAAAAAATCAAAAATTTTTAGACGTCTGCTAACTTCAATGTCATCCTTTACGCGGGAAAAAATAACAAAACAAATATGGCGGAGCCGGCAGTCGCGAGGTAACCCGAAGATTCCCGATCGTTAAGACAAGCAGCAAGCACTCACGAAACACAAAGCTCTTTGTTCGTTGTTGCGTTGTATTAGTTTTAGTTTCATCTTTCATCTTTTTCCCGGCTTGAATTATTATACTTTTACTGGTTATACCAACGCATGTAATATTTTCAACAGAAATTAATAAAATTAATTATCTGTCCACCTAAAATAATAAGATTATAATGAATAATTATTTACATCAATAAATAAAAGTTTTCTAGTGTCTTCTGAGGGAAAAAATATCATAAAAAATATCCAAGGTAACAATTGATAAATTAATATTTAATTAATTTAATAAATTAATATTTTAATAGTTAATTTTTTTTAAGTGAGTATGTTTGATGTATTTAATAGACAAATTTGGAATGCCGTGTTAAATATTTATTGTGAAAGAACAAAGAACGTGAACAGTTAAAATCAGCGGACATTTTTAGTTGTTTCTTAACAAATTTTTTAGTTCTAAGAAAATATTAGAATTTTATTTGTCAATTTAAATCCCTACATGTGGAATTTTTAAGATGTCAGCTGGCGTTAGAAATTTTTTTTATAATTTTATAGCGATAAAATTATTATGAAAAAAATTTTATGTGAAAATTAAAAACAAAATTAATGTCATTAAGGTTATAAGCAGTCACTTGATTATTTTTTAATTTTTTTTAACAAACAAATTTGTTAAAAAATTGAATTTTTAATTTGTTAAAATTTCTAAGTGTCAAAAATTCATAAACTATGAAATATCTATTTAATTAATTTTTGATAAAATATTATTAGTGAAAATTTTTTAAAGAATTTTTTTTATTGTTATTGATTTGTTATATAAATTAAAAAAAATTGACAGCTGTCAGCTAACTTCAGTATCATATTAAATAATTGAAAAAATTATGAAAATTAATTTAGAACATCGGTGATAATTTTAAGAATTTTTTTAACAAATGATGACCAAAAAAAATGAAGAAAAAAAATTGAGATGTAGAAATTAAAAAAAAATTGAGTATTCAATTTTTTAAAAATAATTTTATGGAATAAATTTGTTTATTAAATAAATTAAAAAAAATTATCAAGTGACTTTAATGACATAAAAAATTGGATAGATATTTATTTATTATGCCATAATTACATTAATTTAACAATGTACATAATATTCTAGATTAATTCCATATGTGAAGATTAAAAAAAATTTTCTTTTTTTAATTGATTTGTTATAAAAATTAAAAAAATAGAAATTTATCAGCTAACTTAAGTATCGTAAATTTTTTAAAAATATTCTTAATACAAATTTTAGAATAAGTCACTATAAATGCCGGCCGGCTTAAATACCATTTTTGTTTAGCTGTAACTTGATCTGTCGGCATTAAAAAAAAAGAAATCATTCAAGTGTTTTATCAATATCAATAATTAAAAAAAAAAAAAAAATAACTTACAACTTGATAATACTAAAGTCAGCCGACGTTTAAAATTTTTTTATTTTTTTTTCAATAATTAAATTGAACCAAAAAAATATTTTTTAAAAATTCTACTTACAGTTTTTCAAGTTTTTTACAAATGAAATTTATTTTGTAATAGTTTTATCAATAAAAAAAAAATTATAAAAATTTTTAGATGCCAGCTAGCTTAATTTTCATATAATACTAAAGTTAGTTAATAAAATTTGACTAAAAAAATACTTTTAAAAAATTGCACTTGAAGTTTTTCAAGTTTTTTCCAAATGAAATTTTTTTTTTTATTTTTTTAATAATTTTTCAATAAAAAAAATTCTAAAAATTTTTAGATGTCGACTAACTTAATTTTCATATAATACTAAAGTTAGTTAGTTAAATTAGACCAAAAAAATATTTTTTAAAAATTGTACTTACAGTTTTTCAAGTTTTTTCCAAATAAAAATTTTTTTTAATAGTTTTTTCAATAAAAAAAAAATTTTTTAATTTTGGCTGACTTAATTTTCATACAATAATAAAGTTAGCTAATAAAATTAGACCAAAAAACTATTTTTAAAAAATTGCACTTACAGCTTTTCAATTTTTTTTGCAAATGAAATTTTTTTTTAATAGTTTTTTCACTAAAAAAAAAAATTCTAAAAATTTTTAGATGTTGAGTAACTTAATTTTCATATAATACTAAAGTTATCCAACATTTTTAATTTTTTTTCAATAATTCAAAACCAAAAAAAATATTTTTAAAAAATTGCACTTAAAGTTTTTTACAAATTAATTTTTTTATAACAATTTTTCAATCAAAAAAATTCTAAAAATTCTTAGACCTCAGCTAACTAAATTTTAATAATTATAATTACAATTACAATTTTTATTGATAACAATTATAATTTTTATTGATAATAATTATAATTATAATTACAATTTTTATTGATAACAAATAATTTCCAGCTAGATATGCTGATTCACTTGCAACCAGAGCTGATAGAAAAAGTAAACAAGCATATCGTGACGATAATAAAAATGCCGGAGACGTGTTACCAAGCTCACAAATGCCTGGAGAATTCCGAGGCAGTGTTGATGTTACAAAAAGCAGCTGAGGCTTATAGTTCCTCCTTATATCAACTAGCAGTAACGCACTACAAATCCGCAATAGTCTTACTAAAAAGTACTTCAGACTACGAGGGATCTCTTTTGATTTCCGTGATCCAGTACTTGATCTGCAAGTGTCTGATCGAGACATCCCAGCTTGCTTCGTTGATCGAAGCCAAGGACACTCTGATCAACTTGATAGAAACTACTGATAGACTTCCGATGCTTTACTACCTGCTGAGCAGTCTGTACATCAAGACCTTCTGCTACAAAGAAGCGGAAAAATTGATAAATTATTGCTTGGCATTTTTAAACAGCTCCACAAGTATCACGAGCTTCAACATCCCGACTACCAACGAAGTAATTCCTGAGTCTACTTTTGAAGAGTTGTCCAGGTTACTTGTCCAGTTAAAGGACGAGTGCTCCGGCTGGCATCGACCCGACGCAATTTGCTTCATGAAAAATTGTAACTCTACTTCTTTAAGCAATCTTCTGGATCGCGATATTTATTTCAAGTCGCCTGCTTTTAATGGACTCGTTGTTGTTACTTGCAATAATAATATTAATCCGTGTGTTTTTAATTTTCATATCAATTGCTGGAAGCTTAAAAAAGAAGAATTGTCGCCTAATATTAAATTGTCTGACAAGGATTTTTTAAACTGGAAATGTTTCACTCCTAATTGCGATAATTTTGATCAGTCTAGTGTGATAAGCAAAATTGATATTTATAATAGTGATCATACTATTAAATCTCATGTTGCTTTGCCGGAAAAAATTGTCAAGCAGCAGCAGACGCCTAAAGGCGCTGTTCGGAAGCAGAAAATTAATAATCATAAAATTACACTTAAAATTACTCGTCCGAGGAATATTAATAATGTTATAAGTAAAAGTGATAATCAAAGTACAAATGTTAAAAATAAGTATAAGAAAATTAAAAATAATGACGAGATGGTGTTGATATCGCATTTGATTAAATTAATACAGGTGAGAAATTTTTAATACGGAATTTTTTAATTAACTTACATCTGATTTTTTTTTTTTTTGATAAAATATTTTTTTAAATTTGCGAAGTTGAGAAAAAAATTTTTTAAGTTGAATTTTCATAAAGTTAGCAGTAATTTGATCATTTTTTTATTTGAAATTTTTTTTAATTATTAATTTTATTTTCTCATTTTATTTTCTTCTTTATATTTGTTGATTAAAAAAATTCATAAAAATATAATCAGGTGTGAGTTTTAGTACACTGATGAAGAAGGATTTGTTTATATTTAATGAACTTTACTGACTGTTAATTAATGATTCTTTAATATTGTAGGATTTAATAAACATTTATTAACAGTTTATTAATAATTCATGAAGAACAATTTATCAAGTATTAGTAAATCTATATTATTAAGAGAATAAGAAGAATTATATGGCTAATGTATTTATATGATAAAATGAGTTTTTATAGTTAAATTCGGTATCTTTAGTCGATTCATGATGATAAGTATTTAGGCTGCATTTGAAAATACTAGATACATAATTAAGAAATGACCTTGTATCTTGTGAACCATTGACATTTTTAAAGATATAAGCTCATCCTGATGTTACCCTCATCAAGACCTTTCAATTGAGTACCCACATCAATTTTTCATATATTTATATATATTATATATATGTATATATGAAAAATATATCAAAATGCATGTAGGTACTCAAACGAAAGCTCTTGATGAGTGTAACATCAGAATGAGCTTAAATCTTTAACAATATCAATAATTAAAAAATGACCTTGTATCGTGTGAACTATTGACATTTTTAAAGATATAAGCTCATCTCGATGTTACACTCATCGAGACCTTTCATTTGAGTACCCACATCAATTTTTCATATATTTTATATATTTATATATATATATGTATATATGAAAAATATATCAAAATGCATGTAGGTACTCAAATGAAAGCTCTTGATGAGCGTAACATCGGTATGAGCTTATATCGTTAAAAATGTCAATAGTTAAAAAAGTACAGTGACATTTAACAAATGTCATTATTTAATAAAGTAAAATTCTGATTATTTGTAGTTCACAAGTCACGGAAGTTACTTAGTGACTGCAAGATTGCTAGTTTTTATTAATGGTTAATGAATACTTGTTAACAAATATTTATCTAAAATAAAAAGCAAAAATAGCAATTTTTTTGACACTTTTTATTATTCTATAACTGGAATACATAATAATAATTAAATTCACTAAATAAATTAACGTTTTTTTAATATTCAAAAATATAAAAAATAATTAATGCAAATAATTTATAAAGATGATTTTTGTTTACAAGCTATATATTCAAATTTAATAAATTAAATTATTAATAGTTGATAAATCCTTCTACAGTGTATTCTAAAAAAACACTAAAAAAAAATATTAATATCACATTTAATTAAATTATTACAGGTGCGGAATTCCAACTATGGAATTGAGCAGGGAAAAGATTGGCGACCTGATCTATCCTACTACGGAGATTCTTCAATGATAGTCAGCGAAGATATGTACCCTGACATTATCGACATAGAAGACGAAAACCTGAAGCAGCAGAAGGATTTTCTATATTCCTATTTTTACGAGTACGTATCTTGCAACGCTCCAGTGAAAAAAGACACTTTAATGAAGAAATGGGAAGAAGCCAAGACTCTTATCTCTAACTGTGACCTTATTCTGTACGAATTAAAGTGTCCTACTGTTGTAGAGTTTCTGTTAAAGTCCATGAAGTTCGCTATGGTAGGAGAGTATGTTTGCACGCCAGCGACTCTTCCGGATGCTTATAAGCGAGTCAGTGATAATGTTTGCGGGATTTTAAAGTGTTTGATGAAAAAAGGCGGGGATAGTGATTCTGATGATGATGATGATGATTTGGTTAATGAAGAATTTTTAAAGAGTTTAAATTCTTTTGATTCTTCTGTTAGGGTTGATAATACTGATGATTCTACAGCTAATGATTTTAAAAGTGAAAAAATTGATGATTTTAAAAATCAGAAAATTAATATTGATAAAAATAAAAATCAAAAAATTGATGAGATTAATTATCAAGAAAATGATTTAAAAAATATTGATGAAAATTATCAAAGTTTTGAAAAAAATTTAAATTTTGATAAAAATTCAAATTTTGAAAAAATTGAAGAAAAAATAATAATTGAAAATGAAAATGATGAATTAATTGAAGATAATTTTACTGAAAAATTAAATGAAAAATCTAAGACAAAAGTTTGTACAAAAACTTGTAAAAAATTATCTGAAAAATTACAAAAATCAAAAGAAGAATTACAAAATTTCCAAAAAAATTTTTCTAACTTAAAAAAAACCTTTTTAAAAAATATGTTATCCTCAGATTACTCCAGTAAAAAAAATGTCTTGCTATTCAACATCCGCTTGGCAAGAAATGAATATTTTATAATAGATAAATTACAAACAATATTGATCTACTCAACTGGAACAATGTTACCATTAAGTGAAGTTGAATGGAAGACGCCAATCCAGCAAATGGAAAAATTGTGCTTTGACTTGGACGATGATTACTCAAAAAAGCTAGAGCTGTTGAATGACGAGGAGTATTGTAAGACTAATGAGAGTATTAGTTGTATTTGTAATGTCTTACCGCCGTTGCCTAAAAGAGATTTGACGCTGTTGATACAAATTGCTTTTAACTTGTATCGTGATAATTTAAGGAGAGTTGATCCGAGCTTTAATCAAGCTCCTGGGTATCCTCCGGGGTTTAACCAAACAAGTTTGTATGGAAGTCCTATGATTTATCAGCAGAGACCTCAGTTTTGGAATCAAATTTCTTCTTCAGCTAATTTTAACTCTAATTATCAACAATTTATGCCGAGGAATAATCCAGTTTATGCTGGATGGAATTCTAAATTGTTTGCTGGGAATAATATTATTAATAATAATAATAATATTAATGACCAAAATAATGTTAATGGTCAGTGGAGTCTTAAAGCTGATATTAAAAGTGAATTAATTGATATTAATTCTAAAAAAGAATTTATTAATTATGATGAAATTAATTCGAAAGGTAGTTTGAGTGATATGAAGGAAAAAACTCATGCTTTTAATTATACTGAGCCTCCAGAGTCGCTAAATAATGACAAAGTCCACAAAGTTCACGAAGTATTAATTGATAATTGTGAGGAGGATCTTAAAAAAGTTTTGGAGGATTGGAAGTCTATTTGGGAAGATAAGAGTGAATTTAAAGATTATAAAGAAGAAATGGGTGGAGATAAAAAAGAGGTGGAAGAGGAGGAAGAAATGGAATGTGAATTGAAAGAAGAAATAGGGAAGAAGAAGTCGTATTCAATGGATAAACTGCTGAGGGAATTGAGAGCCAAGCACAGAGGAGTTCTGGAGTATGATTTATTGTACTGTGTTGATGCAGTTAGAAACAAGTATAATGGTTCGTTGTCTGGGTTGACTTTGGCGGAGATTATTGGGGAAGTTGAAAAGGTACTGCCGGGAAGGGAGAGATTGCAGCTGAGGAATTATGATAGGAGGATTTTTAGTAAGAAGCAGGTGAAGAAGTTGGAGAAGGTTCAGGGGGCTAAGTCGACAAGTAAGTTTTTTTTTTAATTTATTTAAGTAATTATTGACAGGGTTGACTTGGGATATAAAAAATATGTAATTTATGAGAGGAGTTATAGTACAGTAATTTAATAGTTAAGTTGGTAAATGAATGAAATATTGATGAGATAAAAATTGAAATCCAAGAAAATGATGGTAAAAATGAATTGTAAATTAAGTAATTACAAACTAGCAACCTTGCAGCCACTGTGTGGCTGTTGTGAAGTGTGAACTATGAAGGAATTTTGCTTTGTTAAATTGCACTGTACTTTCTTAAATATTGATGTTTTTGAAGATATAAGCTCGTCCTGATGTTATACTCGTCGAGAGCTTTCATTTGAGTACCCACATGCATTTTGATATATTTTTCATAAATACATATATATAATATATATAAATATATGAAAAATTGATGTGGGTATTCAAATGAAAGGTCCTCATGAGTGTAACATCGGGATGAGCTTATATCTTTAAAAATGTCAATGTTTCACAAGATACAAAGTCATTTCTTTATTATTGATATTTTTAAAGATATAAGCTCATCCTGATATTACACACATCAAGAGCTTTCATTTGAGTACCCACATGCATTTTGATATATTTTTATATATACATATATATAATATATATAAATATATAAAAAATTGATGTGGGTACTCAAATGAAAGGTCTCGATAAGTGTAACACCAGGATGAGCTTATATCTTTAAAAATGTCAACAATTAAGAAATTACACTGTATTTTGTCCACTGATGAAATTTTTAACGATATAAGCTTATCCTGACGTTGTACTCATCAACACCTTTCATTTGAATACCCACACGAATTTTTTACATATTTTACATATTTTATGAATATCATATATATCAAATATATGAAATATATACTAAAATTGATGTGGGTACTTGAATGAGAGGTCTCAATGAGTGTAACATCAGGATGAGCTTATATCTTTAAAAATGTCAATATTTCACAAGATAAAAGATCATTTCTTCATTGGACACTGTTATGCATTAATGGATTAAGTGCTATGGAAATTCTATGTACCTAACACATTATTGCATAACAGAGTCGAATTATGTATCTAGAGATAGAACATTTTCAAATGCAGCTTAAATACTTATCATCATAAATAGACTATTGGTGAGAATGATATGAAACCTTGAAAAGATACAAATTAAAGTCAAGACCTTTTTAATGATACCAAATTTAACCATAAAAATCCATTTTACCATATTAATATACTGGTCACAAAATTAGTTTTATTCTCTTAATAATATAGATGTATAAAAAAATCAAGATTTAATAAAAGTAATTTCTTCTTTAGATTCCCAAAAAGTTGTGAAGAAATCAACCAGCAAGAGCAATCCTTGGGCTACACTTGACGGCTATCAGTGGACTAACGAAGATTTTGGAGAAAATGAATGTATTATCTGCACGGAAGCTATCATTAAATTTGGTAAAGTCCCTTCTTACACTCTGAGATGCAAGCACACCTTCCATAAAAAAGTAAATATAACTTCTTCTTATGATGAAATTATTCATTTTTTATTTTTATTTTTTTTTAATAACTATTTTTATTTTTTTTTTTTTAGTGCATCAAAAATTGGTTTAACCAAAATCAATCATGCCCAATATGTCGCATCCACTGTATAATCGACGACGAGTTCCCACCTTTGTCTTGATTACTATTTCTTCTTTAAAAAATTTATTTTATTTTAATATTAAAAACTTCTCTTTCATTATGTTTAAGTATTATTATCTTTTTTTTTACTTAAAAAAAAAAAACTATTTTTATAAATTTGAGGTATGATTAAGTATATCATTTACATTTATATTTTTATTATAATAACGTTTATTAAAACTGTTAATTCCACCAAAAACTTATAGAAAAACTAGGTGAAAGACTGACGACGTGATGCCACCATTTTGGTGGAATATACAAAGCCTGACCGGGTTTTAGGTAGCACATAAATCCTTTAGCATTTTTAAATTCTGGAAATTTATTGTAGTCAGGATTTAAAGGATTTACTTGTGCTGTATTGCTCAATAATCTCGTGTCATATGTATACAAGTATTTACTGTCTTCTGGATGATAGAGAATTATTTGTTTGTGTCCAAAGACCTAAAAAAAATACAGTTTAAATAATATTCTATTGCTATTTTTGTACCAAGTGTTGAATAAAAAAAAATTTGATCGAAAAATTTTTCTTACTTGACATAATAAATTATCCCTAGGGTCGTAATGTAAAGGAGATACGGTTCCTTTTGGTCCAAACCAGGCGTTGATGTCTACCTCAGTGTCTTCTTTGTCTTCATCAACAAAATTACAGTAGTCTGGTATTGAAAAATCATTTTTTAGCTCGGGGATCTGGAATTAAATTATTAATGATCTACAATTTATTATTATTATTATTAGTGAAAAATCAAAATTTGTTGGGTAATAGTAATAATAATAATAATGACTAGCAACATTGCAGTCACTACGTGACTGCTGTGACTTGTAAACTATAAATAAAAAAAATTTTCCTTTGTAAAATGATGATTATTGTTAAATTGCACTGTACTTTCTTAAATATTGATATTTTTAAAAATATAAGCTCATCCCGATGTTACACTCATCAAGAGCTTTCATTTGAGTACCCACATGCATTTTCATATATTTTTCATAAATACATATATATATAATATATATAAATATATAAAATATATGAAAAATTGATGTGGGTACTCAAATGAAAGGTCTTGATGAGTGTAACATCAGGGTGAGCTTATATCTTTAAAAATGTCATTATTTCACAAAATACAAGCTCATTTCTTAATTATTGATATTTTTAAAGATATAAGCTCATCCTGATATTACGCTCATCGAGAGCTTTCATTTGAGTACCCACATGCATTTTTATATATTTTTCATATATACATATATGTAATATATATAAATATATGAAAAATTGATGTGGGTACTCAAATGAAAGGTCTCGATGAGTGTAATGTCGGGATGAGCTTATATCTTTAAAAATGTCAGTAGTTCACAAGATACAAGGTCATTTTTTTAATTATGTATCTAGAGATAGAGCATTTTCGAATGCAGCTTAAATACTTATAATATATTGACTATGTGATTATTATTATTATTATTTAAAATCAGCCACCTGTTCGAATAGCTGATGCTGAGCCAAATATCCAACAGTGTCATTTTTTTTTGCCACATGCGACTTGATAAATTCCGAAAGAGTAACAAGCTGTTGAGACCAATCATCTTGAGTATAACTTGAGCCTATTTCTATGGGTACAGTCCTCATTCCACCGATTTTAATTAGATAATTAGGATCTTTCCACGTAGTCAATGCTTTCCAATGGCTAATACACTCTAGAAATATTTAAAAAAAATGATAAGTAAATCTTTTAGCTTTTCTAATTTTTATGACAAATAATTATGAATAAAAAAAAAAAAAAAAAAAATCATAAGAGCAAATTTTAAAAAATATTTTCATCACAATTGGTTTGTTATAAAAATTTCAAAATTTTTTAGCTAATTTCTGTATTATAAATTATTAATATACTTCAAATTACCTTCTAAGACAGCAGGCACTTTACACTTAAATATATCACGATAAAAAGTCTCCATTGAAGGTGATTTGTACTTTTTTATCCACTCACATCCTTCTAATAAATTACTTGGTATATTTTTATCATCAATCTCAAATTTTAATGATTCTTTATATGAATTAGTTTCTTTAAAAAAAAAATCAATTTATTTAAATTTAATTTTTAATTTTAAAATAAACAATAATACCTTCTAAGTAATTATTTATTTTAGAAGCAATATTAGTCAGTAATTCAGGCGCTTCAACAATTGGAGCACCCAGCAAAAGTCCCTTGTCAATCTGCTTTGCTATTTCTTGAATTTTATTTTTTTCCTCTCTAGAATCAATTTCTAGAAGAATGCACTAAACCTCAATTAAATTAATAAATATTATTAAATTTGATAGAATAAAATGATTACCTTGAGTAAGCTACAAATTGTGTAGCAATATCTGTGACCAATAGACACATCTTTCCAGTATCCAGTATTTAAATTTTCCCATGTTCGATCTAAGCATGCCTCTATTTCTATCAGCTTGCAATCAATCCTCTCTGGTATTCTTAAAATATGTATCAAATTTATAATTTGAAAATTAAATTAGCTGACATGTTGAAAATTTATAATAAATTCTAAGTGCAATTTTTAAAACATAGTTTTTTATTTATTATAATATTAAGAGAATAAGAAATGACCTTTGTATCTTGTCAACTATTGACATTTTTAAAGATATAAGCTCATCCCGATGTTACACTCATCGAGAGCTTTCATTTGAGTACCCACATCAATTTTTCATATATTTTATATATTTATATATATTATATATATGAATATATGAAAAATATATCAAAAATGGATGTGGGTACTCAAATGAAAGCTTCTGATGAGCGTAACATCAGGATGAGCTTACATCTTTAAAAATATCAATAGTTAAGAAATGACCTTGTATTGTGTCAACTATTGACATTTTTAAAGATATAAGCTTATCCCGTTGTTACATTTATCGAGCCCTTTCATTTGAGTACCCACATCAATTTTTCATATATTTTATATATTTATATATATTATATATATGAATATATGAAAAATATATCAAAAATGGATGTGGGTACTCAAATGAAAGCTTCTGATGAGCGTAACATCAGGATGAGCTTACATCTTTAAAAATATCAATAGTTAAGAAATGACCTTGTATTGTGTCAACTATTGTCATTTTTAAAGATATAAGCTCACTCCGACACTACACTTATCAAGACCTTTCATTTGAGTACCCACATCAATTTTTCATATATTTTATATATTTACATATATGTATATATGAAATATATATCAAAATGCATATGTGGGTACTCAAATGAAAGCTTTTGATGAGTGTAACATCGGGATGAGCTTATATTTTTAAAAATCTCAATTGTTAAGAAAGTACAGTGGAATTTAACAAAAGTCATTAAAATTTCATTTATGTATAGTTCACAAGTTACTGCAGTCACGTCGTGACTGCAAAGTTGCAAGTAGTTTTTATTGATTTAAAAAATCGAAAATTTCTCAAATATCTGCTAATGTTAGCATTATAAATTATACGTGCAATTTATTTTTAAGAAAATTAAATTAGCCGACATTTGAACGTTTTTAGATTTTTTTTTATTGAAAAAAATTTTTCATGTAAAACATTTATAATAAATTCTAAGTGCAATTTTTTTACTTATAATTTTTATTGTTTCAAAAAATCAAAAACTGTCAAATGTTTGCTAATTTAAATATCTTTTATTAAAAAATTAAAAAAATTACTTATTTAACTCCAGAGATGACTTAATATCTTGTATAAAACTAATCAACCTGACTTTAATTTCCATTGATATTTTTTCACAATAATTAATCAACAAATCCCATGGAATATTCTGACCAGTCAACGGAGCAGGGAACATTTTTACAAAAATAATTATTTATTTAGCCTGTAATAAAAAAAAAAAAAAAAAAAAGCAACTATTTAAAATAAAATATAAAATTTTATATAAAAATTAGTTTAGCAGATATTTAATAATTTTTTTAACTAATAAATTATGGCAAAAAAAATTGACATGTAGAAATTTTAAAAAATAATAAATGCAATTTTTTAAAAATAATTTTTCAGAAAAAATTTATTTATTAAATAAAATAAAAAAATTATCTCGTGACTGCTAACTTCAATCTCATAAAATTTATTCATTTATTTATTTAATAACATGTACATTATATTTCTCCTGACAAATATAAGGCCACTGTAAAATAATATGATCAGCAAAAAAGTACAAAATTTTTCCAGTAAGCGAAAGAGTTTTAACTCTGCAAAAGCTTTCAATAAAAATAACAGTAGTGTCGCTTAAAAAAAACAATTGAAAAATAAAAGAAACTAAACACAAAGGTACACATGTGCCAGGACCATTAGCTAAAATCAAATCCGGCTTTTCTCTGAACATAATTACTCCAGCATTAATAAACGCTATCAAAGTGGTGATGACACTCGTGTAATAAGACTGGCCGACTTCCCGGCTGCGAAAAATTTTAATCACTTTGCAATCATTGTCTATTTCAAAACTTTTAAGTTTTAATTCGCTCATTAGATCACTGTGCCCGTGGACGTAAACTCGCGGGTAATATTTATCTAAGTCTAGGAAATTTAACACCTTAAACATTTCTGTAGTGTGACCACCAGAGCCGAGGATTATCATGGTCTTGACTGACGAGAGATTATTTTTTAATTTTCCACGGTTAAATATTAAATAAATAAATCTTGCCGTCAAAAAAATTAACAGTGGAATTAAAATGTAATAAATAATTTTTATTATTGTCATCTTTAAAAATTTACCTGAAAAAAAAAATTTTTTTCAATTAATATATATTTATTATTAATATTAATAATAATAATAATGTTATTTATTTATTTATTTACCTGAAAGTGTCCAGCTGATTTTTTTTTAAATTTAATTTTTTATTTCATGTTTTTACGTGTACAAATTTTATTAATATTATTGTTTACTTTTATTGTGAAACTGACAGGTGGCAAAGTGGAGAAATAATGAGTGATACTATTTTTTTTACCTAGGTGGCGGTAGTTGTCACTTTCAACGAAAATTTTAAACCAGTTTTTTTAATGAGATTAAAATTAGCTGTCACTTGACAATTTTTTTAATTTTAATTATGGCAAAAATAAATTATTAATAAAATAGACTTGTAGAAATTTTAATAAATTAAAAATGCAATTATTTAAAAATAATTTTTTAGAAGCAATTTTTTTGTTAAAGAAAATTAAAAAATTGTCAAGTGACAGCTAAATTAAATGTCATGTTTTATTATGATTATTTTTTTATTAAAATCCGCATGATATTTAAGAGGGATAGGGTAAATACCCCAATAGATGCACGGAAAAAAGTAAAATATTATTCACTCGGATTCCGGTTAATTTTTATAGTTTCAAACAGTAAAGCGGACATCGGGGTTGCAAAAATATAAATATTATAGAACTTAATGTAGAAGGTATAAAAGCCACAATTTATAATTTAATATCCAACAATAAGTGATTAGTAGCTGTCACTATAGTAAATAACGACTCTTTCATCTTAAAAAATTACAGTTTCAAACAGTAAAAATTGCCATTTCAATCTATAGTCGATATTATGAGAAGCAGGGGAACTCAGATGAAAGAAAAGGGGGTCTCACTCTGGGAGAATTTAACATTTCAAACAGTAAAAATTGTACTTTTAAAATATAGATTTTACCAGTCCAAGCAAGTCAATAATTACAGTTTGATTTTTAGCGTTGCGTTTAAAATTTACTATTTTACTTTGTAAATATTGACGTTGCTTGTATTAGAAATTTACTAACTTTATTTTATACTTTTTACATATCATAAGATCATTTTTTAGGTACAAAATGATAAATATCAAAGTCTGAATTCTTAATTATTATACTTTAACATTTTAGACATTTACATAGCGAATATTACTGTTTGAAATAGTATTTTCTTCCATGTAAAGAATAAATTGTAACGTTTAAATGGTAAATATTATAAAGTGAATAGTAAAATCACGATTTTACTGTTCGAAATGGTAATTTTTAGCAGTTGATCATTACTTATCATAAATCGACTGTTATTCATTACAGTTT